CCTGTTTTTTTTAAGTGCCCTCCAAATTTATGCTCTCCAAATTCCAAATATTCCCATCAATCAAGATATTTGGGAGGCCCTGCTTTATAGAGAGGTAAATATCCAGAAGTTCATTTTTAATAAGCAGGAACATATATAAAATTTGTTGAAGTATGTGATCATCTGGTTACTAAATGTGGGGGGGGGGGGGAAGGAGAGGGTTCTTGGATTATTCCTAATGGTAAAATAATATTTATTATTATCATGAGGTTATTTGTGCTTTATTTGTGCCAGATATACAGAATTGTGTAATGCCTTTTCCTCGTCCTCATAAATAAGGATGAGGATGTTAAAAACTTACAATAGATGTAAAGAAATAATTTGGCATCATCAGAGAGGAAACACACAATAACTGGAAACTCAGAACATTGTCTACAGTTTATTGGGTCATGTCGTATTTGTTAAACAATGCTAGAAATGTTGGAAATGAAAGAACATGTATCATCTTTGATACTGGTTGTGGCTAGTATAAACTTGATGTAATACTGTTTGTCTAATTACCATATATGGAATTTATGTCATTTATTTTACAAAATGCTGAGTAATATGTTTGAAAAAGCTGTCAGTTCTGCTACAATTTTCTGCAAAGCCACGACTCTCTTCTGTTCTGCATTCTGTTTACATTTCTTCTAGCAAAAGGAGGTTATATGATTTGTTTGCATGAAGGACTGAAATGTTGCCTTAGTTACAAGCTGGAATTTTAAAATGCAGGAATTAGTACTAAGTTTTAGGAATCCTGCATTTAGATTACTTTCTAGATATTTTCATCTCCTGATCTATCTTTTCCACTTGAGTAGGAGGAGTTAGGATGGACAATTTAGGTTGATAAGAGGTTTCTTATGTAAAAGGAAGCTGTATAAGAGACCAGTGCAAATCATAGAATCGTAGAGCTAGAAGAGATCTTAAAGATAATTTAAAGAACGTCTGCTTAGTTTAGAGTCCACTAGATCATCTCTAATAGATGATCATCTAGTCTGTTTGAAGCTCTCTAGAGATGGAGATCTAATTATCATCTGGCTGATAGTTCTACAGTCATAACATTCCTGATCTCTAGCCTGAACTTGTCTCCTTGTATTATTAATTCATCGGTTCTGATCCTGCCCTCTTGGGCTATAGAAATATGTCCACTCCCTCTTCTGTGGAAAACTTTTTTAGATATGAAGTCTATTATCTTATCTTAAGTCTATTATCTTATCTTAACTTGCATAAACAAAATAGAAATACAAGTTAAGATAGGCAAGAAAATGGTAAGTGAACACCTGTCCAGCATAGACGAGTTCAAATCACCAGGACCAGATGGATTATACCCCAAGGCTCTTAAGGAACTGGCAGATGTGATCTCAGAACCACTGAACTATATTTTTCAGAGATCCTGGAGCACTGGGGAACTACCAGAGGACTGGAAAAGAGCTGATGTAGTTCCCATCTTCAAAAAAAGGGGGGGGAAAGGACCCAGGAAATTACAGACCTATCAGCCTGACCTCAATACCTGGGAAGATTCTGGAAAAGATAATCAAACAATGAATCAGCGAACACCTACAGGCAAACAAAGTCATTACTAAAAGCCAACACGGGTTTGTCAAAAACAGATCATGCCAGACAAATCTTATTGCATTCTTCGACCAAGTGACAAAATTAGTGGACCAGAGGAATGCTGTGGATATAATTTACTTGGACTTCAGTAAGGCATTTGACAAAGTAGACCATAACCTACTACTTGAGAAGATAGAAAAATGCAGGTTAGACAGCACCACCACCAGATGGATCCGTAGCTGGCTGACCGGCCGTACTCAGTGTGTGGTCCTCAATGGAACCGCATCTACATGAAGGGAAGTGTGTAGTGGGGTGCCCCAGGGCTCTGTTCTGGGCCCAGTGCTCTTCAACATCTTCATCAACGATCTGGACGAGGGGATAGATGGGGAACTCATCAAATTTGCAGACGACACCAAGCTGGCAGGAATAGCCAACACTCCAGAAGACAGGCTTAGGATACAAGAGGATCTGGACAGACTTGAACACTGGGCGCTATCTAACAAAATTAAATTCAATGGTGAAAAAAGTAAGGTTCTACATTTAGGCAAGAAAAACCAAAGGTACAGGTATAGTATAGGGGGTACCTTGCTCAACAGTAATAACTGCGAGAGGGACCTCGGAGTCCTAGTGGACAATCATTTAAATATGAGCCAGCAGTGTGCTGCAGCTGCCAAAAAAGCCAACACAGTGCTAGGCTGCATTAACAGAGGGATAGAATCAAGATCACATGAAGTATTGTTTATTCTTTTTTTTTTTTTATGTTTTTTTTACAGTTTTATATTATGTTTTACATTCTGGGATTTTTTTTCTTTTCCAAGTATAAATTTTTATTATTTTCATCATAAAAAAGAAACACATCACAAGTACATCACAATGCTATAATAAAAACCCCACCCCCCACCCCCCACCCCCCGGACTTCCCAAACCTAATCCCAGGATACTATTCAAATAAAAGTAAACTAATATTAATATCCCTAACTCCACAAAATATTATTCTACATAAGTAGGTGAAA